AGGCCGGTATTCATAGTCCGTTCTTATATTCAAGATCGTCTTAAGTACGATCTTAAGATACTATGCGGCCATTTCATTGGTTGAATGGGATCTTAAGACGACCCAAGACCACACTTAAGACGATCTTGGATATAAGAACGGACTATGGCCGGTATTCATAGTCCTTTCTTATATCCAAGATCGTCTTAAGTGTGGTCTTGGGTCGTCTTAAGATCCCATTCAACCAATGAAATGGCCGCATAGTATCTTAAGATCGTACTTAAGACGATCTTGAATATAAGAACGGACTATGAATACCGGCCTATGTCTATGCACATTCCATTCTTTAAAGGACTGGCTATGGTTGGCCAGTATACACAGATGTCTATACTAAACCAGTATATTAAAGTATGATATAGTATGATCTGTGCCAGTATAGTATTTAGTACGTATTAGTGTCGGTCTACAATAGTGATTTAAGCTCTAAGCCTTAAGAAATTGACCAATCACGATCAAGTATGAGGAGAATACTCGACTGTGATTAGTCAATTTCTTAAGGCTTAGAGCTTAAATCACTATTGTAGACCGGCACTTATGGCCTCACACATTGGACGCGATGAGCGATGAGCGATGGGCGATATCCAATGAGAGCTCTGCTTTTTCGGAAAAGGGTCCGTTAAGGGACAGGATCCGTGTATGTGCCTGTATAAGATAACAATATATTATAAAAAAGAGGAAATAAGAGAGCGAGATAAATTTTTACAATAAAAACTATTATTTATTTTTGTCGATGAATTTATAATAAAAATTTATATATATTTTATGATTACAGACGACAAATTTTATAAAGGTTAGTTTAGTCATTATACTTAATATTGTAAGTAATAACAATAAATACGCTTTAGTGTTCGCTTCAGAAAATGTAGACAGTACTTACAATATTAATAAATTATCGACAATTAATATTTATTTAATAATAATCCGTATCTAAACAGATGTCCAAAAATAAATTTTCTTTACATTTTCTTTATATCAAATCATTATCACCTGTCAACATTACTATCATTTTTTTTTTATTTTAGGAAAATGTTTTATTTATTGCGAATTATTAGACGTTCTTAATGTGGCAAAAATTATATAATGCTTTAACTTTACCAATGGAGACTAGTAAAGTGACTAGTAAAACTAGCAGCTTAAAAGCTCTCTTGCTACGAGCATGGAGAGAACGCTGGACTGATTTGCAATGGGGTATCAATATCAAAACAGTAAGCATAAAAAAATGAACAGTTTTAATATGATTAATATACTATCTGTGATGTTCTGAAATAAAACAAATCTTTAGATTCTTCCAAGAGGTGTAAGTGGTGATGTATATAACTTAGCAGATTGTATATTGCAACAAGCATTAGTGGGACCAGGGCCTAATCAATTAGTCCTATCGTATCTTAAACATTCCTTAAGCTCTCAGGTTTGTTTATTATAGTCTAACATACTTGTATTTTGAATATCAAT